GCACGTAACGACGCATTATCCAAAATATCGGAGAACATTTCCTTAGTACGACTGAATCGCGACTAACCTAGCTACGCGGCCGATGTTCGTTTCTGGGCATATCGCGGAGACACGCGCCACGCCCCCGTTTCACATCTATTCCTTTCTATGATCTGAGGTCCAAGAATTCTTCTGGACCAAGTTGAAATATATTATTAATTTTAAGTGAAATTAAGTTTCATCCGTATTTGTGGACTGTAATTTAGTGGTAATTACAGGATTTATACAGTGTTTTAGTTTCTTAAATCTTTCGCTACTTGATTCATGATAGGTTAAGGTTAAAATAGGTCATTCAACTCACTATCCGAACATTTGGAAGAAACTTTATATCTAATCTAATCATTTAAAATAAATCCTCGCTCTGTCGATGAGAGCGAAACTAAAAACTTTTCAATACTATTCTCAATAGCCCTCATTGCCACAGAAAATAAGTTTTCTTTAGCCCGAGTTTAAAATTGGATTTGCTACTCTATGGACCCGAGTTGGCTCTCTTAAAAATATTAGCTCTATTCTAGAGACAGCTCGGAGATTTCAATATCTCCAGCTTCTTTCTTTGCGGTTTTCAAACAACCATTGTATAAATCCTTAGAATGGACGCTTTTATCTGTCTTCCAAGTAAATATCGGATTCTTTGAAACGAGATTCTTCGTTTGATAACCGATGAGGAATTAGAACTTGAGCACTATTCTGATAGGGAGATGAATCAATTTTGAGGAGCAACGATTGTAAATTGTGGCCAGAGTCAGGGTTATCTTTTGTCAGGGTTCGTTCACTCATTTGTCGGCTAAAATTGTCCGAGAAGCGACTATTGTGTGGAGAGATAGTGGACTAGTGTGAACTGGGCCTTTGGTCTTCCATTAACTTATTATCGTTGTTCTACTTTCAATCACTATCGAAGTGTGAGATGAAAGTGGTTTGTAAAGAAATGAAATATATTTTTGTCATGCGATCGAACTTGGAAAGTTTAATGTTTTCTTTTCCAAAATCAAGTACCAATGTGCCTATTAATTTTCCTTTCAGATTTTTTAATTTATGTTCTTAATCCTAAGATCTAGAGTTTTTTTTCTGAATAATTTCTATCATATTTTATACCTACCTACTTGCTTACATCTATCTTTTCGAGGTCTTGCAATTAACTGTTGAATCTAATAGGTACACTTTTAACTTTGTACAACATAATATGACAGTCTCAGCAGTCCTCAAATTGACCTCCATTACGTATGACGTAACAAAACTTTTATTTCGTGATATTAAATCATGATATTCATGACTACGGTGTAATGTCCGCAATGGCGGAATAAAGAATGTTATGGACCCTCTGGGAGGCCTAATGACCGAGGCTAATGACGAAGGGAGATAAACAGGTATAAATATCGTGCCACCTTACTTTTGGGGCAAGGCATTAACATTTTTAATGTTTTGTGAGGATTTTTTTACAGTTTGTAATAAGTGTGACTTTTCTTGACTAAAAGCTGGCTTAGTTCGTGATCTCTCCACAATGTATGTTAGATTGCACTCAAAATTACATTAATTTCTGGAAAAGGATCGGTGTCTCAGAGTCTGATCTATGATCTGAGGTGACATCCAATGGGCTTACCAAGCAAAATGACATACTCGTACGACATTGCGGACGAAACGATACAGGATACAATAATGATAGTGACTTATTGTTACATTTAAAACTCTAAAATACTTCAATTGGGTCCGGTTTGCTTACAAACAATAGTATTTTCAATGGTTTTTGTTTAGTTACTTATACAGGGTGTTAGGTAAATGGGTATATGAGCCGACACTAGCCCATGTTAACATGAGCATATACATGATATCAATTTTCTGACTTTACCATACCATTTATATGCATATTTTAACATGGGCTAGTGTCGGCTCATATACCCATTTACCTAACACCCTGTATACCTTAGAAAAAGCTTAATAGATCGGATTAAGTTAACTTCAAACCATGTACGACTTTTTGTATTGTGAAACTTTTCTATCGAACTTGTTTGTACTTGTTGGAATCTAGGTGCCCTGTTTCTGTGTAGTTTGTTCGATTATAGAATAGCTGAGCCCGCAGCTTTTTACGTGAAAATCTTTCTTATCCTTTTCCAGTTAGTTGCTCAGAGAAACAAGTTCTTATTTTTTGGCTTGAGTGCCCGTACATTACATCCATGATTCTAAGAACTGAAAAAATACAGCGCTACATTTTTCTCTTTTCAAGAAATGTACAGAATGACGGCTCATCAAGTTAATTTCACCACTTTTTTATCTTATTCGGTGGTAAGAAGCACAGTTTTGTAACAAAAGAATGTAGGTAAATACTGTTTTCGAAATTTTCATTTTGTAAACAAACTGTAACGACAATAGCACGGTAATACATATTACCGTGACAATATAATCAAACTAGCGGCCGCCCGCGACTACGTACGTGTGGATCCCGTTTTATCTCCTTTGGGGTTGAATTTTGCCGAATCCCGTCTAAGTGAGCACCTACGTTCTAAAAGTAACCCTCATGCAAAATTAGTTGTAGTTTCTGAGATTTCGTGTGAGTGATGGAGTCAGTCAGTCAGTCAATCAGTGACCTTTCGCTTTTATAGATAGAGATAATGACGTTAACAGCTGCAGCAGTTCAAAATATCTAAAACCGCCAGATCTGTGTGCCTACCATGAGTTTACGTTAGGTGTGCTCGCTAGCGACTGCGTAAAAAAATGACATTTAAATGTATGACATATTGTGAAGCGCCCTTTCAAGAAATAAAATCTTCATAGAATTTTTTGACGTATTCGCTAGCGAGCTCACCTAACGTAAACTCATGGTAGGCACACTGACATTTAACCGCGTCTTTCAGTTCACCGCTCTCTCAAAGTTTCAACTCGCTACGGAGCCTGAAATCGGTTGCGGTTCGTAGCAATAAGCAAACAAGTCAGATGCCTCCGGCTACGAACTGCTACGGACTACGGCCGACTACGGGGAGTTACGAACAGCCAATTAGTACGGACAACAAGCGGTCTGGGGTCATGGGCCTTTTGATGTAAGGAAACCATTTTGGATTTGTAACATTATTTACGATATTTATTACATATTAGGCCAGATTATTTGATGTAACAAAATAATCGGTTGGCCAGATAAGGTAAGTTCCTTATGGGCTATAATGAAATCAACATTAAATAACCTTCCGTACTTATCTTGCTTCGAAACCCATAGGAAAATATACTAGGTACTTACCTATACTCGTAGTAGGTAAAACGACTGTAATGAACACAGTCATCGTGATACTAAAATGATAACAGAAAAACTCATTTTATATGAAGACAAATGTCTCATAAAAATTAGAGTTTTTCAAGTTCTTTCTAAATTATTAAAAGCAAAAGCTTACCTAAAAATACCGCAGCAAAGATGTTGCCACCCTCAAAATTCACCTCTTCATAATATCATATCCTGGGACATACGTAGTTATAATAAGTCCTGTGGAACATTTGCCTCTACGTAAGTTAATTTAATATTTGCAAGTATGTAAGTCAGCTGCCGGCGCAAGTACGAACTGCGAACCTTGGGCTGATTCCACACTGCTGAACATTGCCTTAATAAGTAGGGCGACGAAATATTATGACAGAGTTGAGACTTTATAATTAGATTTAAAATATTCTGGAGTTTAGTTTTCATATGAATGAGTATTTACTTCATCTCCGTCAACAGACGCATCTACTTGCAAATCTCATTCTTATTTTCACCGGGTAAAATTACTAAGTGTTCGCAGAACGATACCTTTATTTTATTTGGTTAAAACTTCTAAACTTTCGCTCACTAAGATGCTTTCATGACTGACTGTGACAAATAAAGAACCAAATTGTATGAATAAAGCGCTAAATATTAATCATAACGATCAGGTACTTACTGTTGACTTAAAAGGTGCCTATACAAAATTGCTCCGCTTGCTAATTTTTTTTTTCATTTAAAGTAACGTCGTATAGATTTTCAGTGAAATACACGACTCTCCTGCTTTTGAATTGCCATTTTTACTGAGATAGGTGTTTATCCAGTGTTATATCAGAAATTATTCAAGAATTCAAGAAGACTTGAGAATATTTTTGAATCCATATCATACTAGTTCGTCTGTGCATCCTACGTCGACTTGAACCGAGGTGAATTTGCGTTAAATTATGAAGCTTATTAGCCATTGTTCCCCTGTGTGTCGTACTGGCACAATGAAAGCGTTGTGCCTCATCTCCGCCGCTGGTGAATTATTTACGTCTCACCATAACTCCATAAGCAACTGTGGTGAGATCGTCTTGATTAATTTCGCCATGGACAGCTAGGGTTCGCGACAATCAGAGATTACAAGGGGTTTGTAATCTTGGAAGTGAATGCAGTTTTTGTGGTGAGGTTGTTTGTATGCTAATGATTCTTTTGATGCGCTGTCCTTGATGAAGTACTTAAACTCGTCATAATTTATGTTTGTTGGGCTCAAAATTAGGTGCAATTAGTGACAGTCAAACGTTGTAAATATTAGCATGTTAGCGCTATAATCCTAGTAGGTATTCTAATTTTGTTTTGATCAATTAAATATTAAAGCCTGTTTGGTTGAGTTTCAATAAATTAGACCAATGGTAACCAATTTTTTGAGCGTTTCACAATTCTTTTCAATCCATTTCCAAACCAAAAACTGTTTGACATCATTCGTCCTTCTTTTTTACTTGATTTGGCCTAGTCGTTTTTATAATGCAAATAAATTAATTTATTAATACACTTAAAACTACTTATAAAGTTTCAAAGGCAGTTTGAAACGCCATTGATTTGAGGATTTCAAGAACACTTTACGTGAGAGATCTCAAAACTCCGCAACCTTCAGCGAATTGAGCAAAGCGTTTAAAACTTTGAAGAATGTATTAAACCTCCTTAAAATAAAATAAGATTTAACTGCGCAACTTCTCCTTTGTCTATGTAATGGGATCGCCTGACGTTTTCAAACTTTGATTCTGTTTACTTTGTAAAATTTTATAATTTTTTACTGTTCCGTACCCATTGTTGTGATGTCTCAGGATCAGTGTGGGGACGGCAAGCATGATGACTCTGATGATGATGACAAAGCAGATGGAGAGCCGACCACGTCGAAACTGGACACACTGCATCCTGAACAAACGTCTCATAACATGAACGATTTGAAAACACTGGATTTTAATTCTGCTGATGAGATCAGGTTTATATTTTAGTTACATTCTATTCTTCTTTAACTACAGCAATTCTTGTATTCTATGTCACCTTTCATTGATGATTTCGACCTCTGGACCTTTGGTTTGAGACAAAATCTTAGACTTCCAACGGGTGGGTTGTAAGAAGTTTAGCTTTTGTAGACTAGATACGTAGACCACAAAAGGCTAATTATCTAAAATGCTTAGTTTTTCAGTTTCCTTTTGAAAATTGCAGACAAACAATGAAGGCCGTGTTTGCTTCAAAAGGACCTCACGAAGACCCAGACCACACCACGTGTCTTAAAGCCAACGTTGGCATCGAAACGAACTCAGTCAAGCGAGCCCAAGGGTCTACCCAGAGTCCGAGCATCAACCAAGCAAGGCAGAGAACTGTGCAAATCGAGGCGAAGGAAAATCTATTCCAGCGTATTAACCCTAAAAACGAAAAGGGGAATTCGAATATCCGCAAGAAAAGACCGGGGAGACCACCCAAAGCGGGGACTTCGAAGAAAATTAAAAGGGCTAGTGTGAGTGCTTTGTATGTGGGAAAATTGTCCAACGTAGTGCCGTTTAAACGATGCCGGTATGCATCAGAAAGCGAGTCCGATGACCTGGACTCGCTTGTCATTATGTACTGATCGTGAAAAATGTTTTGTGATATTTTAATCAAATAGTAAGTTTTTTTGGAATCTTAACAATAAAATCGGTGGCGTTTATGAAGTCTTCTCTGATATAATTAAGATTTATCAGTGTTTTTTATTCAGAAATACCATGAAAGCGGAATAATTACGACTCTATATCATTTTTTGATAATCGCGTTTAAATCAAACAACAAACTTGAAATCTTGCTCAGTGTTCAGGACTAAATAGAAGTGTCTTTTTAAATAAGTTGTGTCTAGGAATGACTACTTAATAGTGATGACTGTCTGTCTGTCTTCAAGTTTGTTTATATCCTTGTACTTACTTATTATCTTTCTTACTTATCAAGTGAAAGTTCCTCAAAGGGCTTCGGGTAAATCTCCCAAAGATTTCGTTTAGCAACTTGTGTACCAATCTCTTAGCAGATCATATCGTGGCGGATATTGAATGTCCGACCAGATCGCACCAGGCTGCCGTTACGGTGATGTGTACACTCGGCGCAGTATTTCAAATAGGCTGAAAGAAGTATGGTTGAGCAGTGTTTATGATGATGCTGTTTTGTTTTGATAAAACCTTGATACTTGAAGTTGTGGTTGGATGTTGTAGTTTCTTAGAAATAAAATGAGGTGATTGACGCTCTAGTCAATTGACAATATTGACATACTTTTAGTCGGCAGAAAGCGAATCAGCCATCGATTTCGTATGGTAAAGATTAATGTCACCAGTTAGCGAACTCAATTGACAACAAAACGACTCAATTTTCAGGATCCAATCAAATGGGAGTGTTTTTTTTAAAGAAGTTGTAATCTTGGGATTATTGGATAATTGTGTCAATTACTCAATTAATTTCACTTGGATAAATGAGTCATTTCCACTATCATACCAATTTACAGCTCCCAACTAAGGTAGAGCTAATACACCTTCCTCTATTAATTTAAACAGCTGTCCTCTCGGGCTGTCTGTAAGAAATGTTTTGTAGCGATAAAAGAGATATGGCGACTTTAAATTACGAACTCAATAATCTTAGAAAACCGGCCAAGTGCGTGTCGGACTCACGCACAAAGGGTTCCGTACCATTGATTTATGATTTTTTTTTTTAATTTAAGTTATTTGTATGAAAGATTACGCGGTAATAAGCGGTTTACGATTTACGAGGTTATTAAAAAAAAACTACTTACTAGATCTCGTTCAAAACAATTTTCGTTGGTAGTTTTTATAGTAATGTAGGTACATACATCATATGAGTTTTTTAGATTTTTCATTTTCTTATTTTAGAAGTTAGAGGGGGGGGGGGACCAACTTTTTTCCACTTTGGAAGCGTCTGTCACGCAAACTATTCGGTAGAAAAAAAGTATTTTAGAAACCTTGATATCATTTTTGAAGACCTATCCACACGTATGTGTTTGATGAAAAAAAATTTTTTGAGTTTCAGTTCTAAGTATCAGATATAAGATCCCCCAATATTTATTATTATTTTTAAAATTTTCAATCAAAATCTCTTAATGCGGTTCACAGAATACATCTACCTACCAACTACCAAGTTTCAACAGTATAGCTCTTATAGTTTCGGAAAAAAATGGCTGTGACATACGGACGGACAGACGGACAGACAGACATGACGAATCTATTAGGGTTCCGTTTTTTGCCATTTGGCTACGGAACCCTAAAAATCGACAGTATTCTAGAAACATTTGGGTAATTCTAACAATGCACGAGCACTGAGACTCAAAACTGAAAGTGGCAGGCGTTCCGGTTGACGGCACTCTAGAAAGTCTCGTGGATATTATTTACAGATACGTGAATCGAGTCTCGCCCACCTACAGCTAGGGTTTGTATAATGGGTCCGGTTTTTGGAAATTCGGTTACCGGTACTGGGGTCTGGACTGGTCTGGGCTTTGTACCGGCACTCCCGGTATTTTTTAGAATAAGAAAATGAAATGTTTTACCAATGAAATAATCCTAATCCATTTTTTGGCCTACCTTTTAATATTTTTTAACACCACAACCTTATTTTCTTAGAAATCGTTACAGATTTGCTCCATATCGGTTTTACTATAATACCTATTAGCAGGACCGGTCGTTATCGTTATGGAAAGGTCTTTGTCCAGCAGTGGACGTCATTTGGCCGAAACGAACGAACTACCTACCTATTAAGTAATTCCTTTTTAAGAGCACCGGGACCACACTATAACGGTATCGGTTTTGATTAAAGTACCACGTTAGTACCGGGATTTCCCGGAAATTTTAGATCCGGGAATTTCCCATTAGCAAGCCCTACTCGTGAACATGGCCGTGCCTGTCCCGAACATGTTTTGACGTCTAATGTAATATACTGCCTGTTTCAGCCGAGAGGTGTGATGGCGGGATGAACAAATTGTTGCGTTAAAAAGATTGGCTACGTGTTTGTTATCTACCAGCGATATGTTGTTCTGAGGTTGATGAGACTGAATGGATACTGAAATAAGATTTTTTCACACATAAATATTTATTTATAATTGGACGATGGACCGACGACCTCAGGATTATGTCTGGCAGCGGCTAAATGAAAAAGTGGGATATCGTGCTTTTTGACGTTCTTTGGAGTAAGCTTACGTTCAGCAGTGGACTGCTAAGTTTACGATGAATAGTACAAATTCATACTTCAATCATCGTTGTAGTGGTCTTTTATACGAAACTAGCTATCCGCCCGCGGCTTCGCCCGCGTGGAATTTTGTCTGTCACAGAAAAACTTTATCGCGCGCGTCCCTGTTTCCAAAACCGGGATAAAAACTATCCTTCGTCCTTTCCCGGGACTCAAACTATCTTTATGCTAAATTTCATCAAAATCGGTTCAGTGGTTTAGGCGTGAAAGCAAGACAGATAGACAGACAGGCAGACAGAGTTAATTTCGCATTTATAATTAGTATAGATTATTAGAAAAATACTTGCGGTGAAAGCCATAGAAGAAAGCTAGCAGTCTAGCTCCACTTTGTCTTGTCTATGCCCAAACTTTAGCCACAGTATTGACATGATGCATCGCCTCATACTCTCTACTCTATGCACCCCGCGGTGGTGTTTACGAGTCGCGCCTGCATCTAGCTTTATTAATTATTTATTAATTAATGCATCAGACAAGTTTCTAGACTGCCGGAAAGTTTAACCTCTAGACGATTGGTGCATAATGTATGCTATTGCTACCCTTGAACACTGGAGAATAAACCCTAAGTTTGTACCAGTAAGGTTCAAATGTATATGCGGCATGAGTTATGTTGCAACTGACGAATTGTTACCCTTTTGCATTCAAAAATAACCAAAATGTTGTAAATGAACAGTCAGCTTAAAGAATAACTTACCTACGTTGACTTTTTATCTATTTTTATTTCATAGTTAGTTATCTTTTTGATAAAATTAATTAGTAAATCTTTCTTTGTAATCGTGATAATGAAACAAGCGAACTTATTAGGAAAACATTAAGATTCAGCACCAGTAACAGTAGTAAATTCAAGAATTGGGAAAATAATATATTTAATTTTAACTGTACAAAATACCTACCGATATTTTCAGTAAATCCATTGTTCATTCTAGGAAATATTACTCCCGATCTTCTGATTGGATCTGACCTAGATAATGTCGAAGAAATTATTTTCGACGAACCATATTACTTGAAGCAACAGGGCTATATCTGGGCCTGGGATTTATCTATAACAAGGACTTTAGTGGCTTCTGACCTAAATTGATTATTTTTGGATTTACGTTTGGTAGGATTTCCCAGACTTAGGATCTCAGCTTCGACCCATTTTTAGGTTCTATGCCTTTAATAGAATTACTCAAGCCCGTAGAAGTGTCTAGCTCAAATATTTTGGTGTGCTTTGGTATGCTTTTCAATGTGCTCTATGACACACTAAGTCCCTGATGTGGTACCTATGCATAGCAGTGCTACTATGTTTAATTACTTAAAAAGGGGCTTGTATGTAATACCCACGTACTTTGCTATTACTTGGTATTATTTCGTTTATTCTCTACCAAAATACAATTTCTTCTGCGGTTGTACAAAACAACAAATGACTCCCCCACCCGTTGCATTGACCCTTGCAAGCCTAATACCTTATGGTCACCATAAAACATTCCATCAAGTCACATAATGCTGTACTCAATACAGCCTTCCCGGGATATGAAAAATTGTTTACTGCGACAGCGACACGCAACGGGTTCCGTACTAAAAAACCGTAATTTCCTTCACCCTTTCATTTATACCCGCCAATCTGAAGGCCTGCGCCTTATTTATAGGGGTCCGGGCCTTTGATGGGTGGGAGTCAGAATGTGTAATGATAAAGGTTGTAAAAAATTGCTGGGCAGACTTGCGACTGAGGTGCGATTTGTCGCACGGTGTTTTTGCCAGCTTAGTATTGAATGTGTCGATGGTTTTAGCCAATATTTTACAACTTAGAGCTGGACCTCGCTATTGGCATGAACGTCCCTTACTTGACTAGCTATGTTCTCATGTTCTATGTTCAGGTAGGTACTGGATCTTTCTAATATGTATTGTATTTAAAATGCCTATTAATGAATGTTTAAATAAACAAAGATGGGTCATAATATTTGATGATATTGCTTTACTTGATGGGCTAGTTTAAGTCAAATATAAATCAAGTACTCTAAGAACAGCGATAAATCACCATAGTACAAGAAGAGACGTATTTGGTACAATGATTATATAAGTTGTCGGTGTAAAATGTTTAAAATAAGTCGCTCGTCTGCCCTCGCGGAAGGATAGCTCTGTTTCTATGAACGACTTTACGAGTGTTGTACGGCGCTTGTATGAGACTATGATGTGTTATCGGTGCTCTCAGGGAATCCGGATGCCAGTCTTATCTATGGGCTTTTGTCAGGGCATAGTTCGCGGATAACACCCTAAAATCTTTTGCTATTTGTTTACTCGTGAAAGTGGCTCGAAACAGAAATTGTTCATGATAAACCACCATGGAACTATCGTCAAAAGCCATCGTCAAAACTTGCGTCAAAAACCTGGGACTGAAAATCGCTGCCTGCGCAGTTGCTGTCTTTCCCAAACACTATAATCCG